CCCAGCTGTCCCTGGTCTTGTTCCTCCACACGCTGACTCACGGGAGTCAGCGCTGTCCCCCAAGGCGGGGGGGACAGCTAGTCATAACCAATGCCTAAGCAACCACTCACAATCTTGTATGATAATAAAGTTGTGGCCAAAATTATGCCAAAAACCTTAAACAAAAATTAAGTCTCTGGTGTGAGTTATTGGGGAAGGGGTGTTCTGGGGACCTCAGCACGCAACCACCACAACTAACATAAAATCATTATGTTGAATTCATCTCAGACAAGCATGTACAGTGGTACCTCGCAAGACGAATGCCTCGCAAGACAAAAAACTCGCAAGACGAAAGGGTTTTTTGAGCTGCTTCGCAAGACGATTTTCCCTATGGGCTTGCTTCGCAAGACGGAAATGTCTTGCAAGTTTGTTTCCTTTTTCTTAACACCGTTAATACAGTTGCGACGACTTCGAGGAGCAACTCATAGAACGCGGTGTGGTAGCCTTTTTGAGGTTTTTAAAGACTTTGGTGATTTTTGAAGCTTTTCCAAAACTTTCCCGACACCGTGCTTCGCAAGACGAAAAAAATCGCAAGACGACAAAACTTGCGGAACGAATTAATTTCGTCTTGCGAGGCACCACTGTACCATAAAAAAAAATCAAAGGGAGAGGTGTGGGGCAAGAAGGGAAGATCTTTCTTTCTTTTACCTTCTCTCTTTACACCCCTCCAATTCCTGTCAATGGAGCTGGCTGTGGGAACAACCCATGGAGCTCCCCTGTTCAAGGAAGTCATCACCAGTCTCAAGCAGAGAGGTTGTTGTGAGTCTCCCCAAATTCTACTCCACTCAATGGAGTTGATGTGCAAGAGGAGCCAACAGGGACTTTGCTGCCCACAAGCAAACTGGAACAAACTGTACGAAAATAGGCATGCATGTATGTTTGCAAATAAAAAGAAGAAAATACTCTGCCAATGGGTGTCTTCATGCTGCCAATGAGCATTTTTTTAATTAACATTCTTGTGTTACATATGTATACATTGTCATATTACATTACATGGCTTATTATAATATGAATTTCAACATGTATACAAAATATATATACCTAAAGAAAGGGGGGGGAGAAAAAAAGAGAAAATAAAGACAAAAAACTATTCCAAAATCATATATGTATCAACACTACAGACTTCCTGTCAATCATGTTGTATATTCCTTTTTTACAAACGAATGTGCTCTTATTAATGTATATTTCTTTACATTTTATCTGATACATTCCTATATCAATATGTACCCTTAATCTTATTTCTCAATTTCTCTCCAACGTCAATCGAATGCTAGCATAGATAGCGAACCTTTACTGTATTTCTGAACATATCTTATACAGTGGTGCCTCGCAAGACGAAATTAATCCGTTCCACGAGTCTCTTCGTCTTGCGGTTTTTTCGTCTTGCGAAGCACGGCTATTAGCGGCTTAGCGGATATTAACGGCTTAGCGGCTTAGCGGCTATTAACGGCTTAGCGGCTTAGCGGCTATTAATGGCTTAGCGGCTTTAAGAAAAAGGAAACAAACTCGCAAGAACTCACAAGACGTTTCGTCTTGCGAAGCAAGCCCATAGGGAAATTCGTCTTGCGGAACGACTCAAAAAACGGAAAACTCTTTCGTCTTGCGAGTTTTTCGTCTTGCGAGGCATTCGTCTTGCGGGCCACCACTGTACCTATCCCTCATGCTGCCAATGAGCATTAGAAGCAGAGAGTGTCTACAGAAGTCTAGTGTTCCAAACATGGGAAGTAATAGTACTGCTCTATTCTGCCTTGGTGAGACCACAGCTGAAGTACTGTGTCCAGTTCTGGGTGACCAAGATGCTCAAGGATCTGCAAACCAAACCCTATGAGGAACGGTTGAAGGAGCTGGGTATGTTTAGCCTGGAAAATAGGTGACTGAGGAGATATCTGAAGTATCTGAAGGGTGTCACATAGGAGATGGAGCAAGCTTGTTTTCTTCTCTAGATAGTAGGGACCAGACCCATGGCTTTGCATTACAAAATAGGAGATTAAACACCAGGAAGAACTTTCTGACAGTAAAAGCTGTTGACAGTGGCATGGACTCCTTCAAGAAGTAGTGGAGTCTCCTTCCTTGGAGGTTTTTAAGCAGAAGTTGGATGGCCATCTGTCATGGATGCTTTAGTTGAGATTCTTGCATTACAGGACTAGATGACCCTTGGGGTCCCTTCCAGTTCTACAATTGTACGATTCTAGGAAATGTACCAAAATGCCTATAATAATGTGTATTCTAGGAAAAATCCATTTTAGAAATGCGTAATTTGAGAGAAATTTTGTTTAGAAATGTATATTTTGTCAGCAAATGTAAATATAAATTTTCATGAGTTTTTGTTTTTTTTAAAGAAAATAACAGATTAAAGCAGAAATGGAATAGGACAGAATTACAAATGAACACCCGTGAACCTGACAGAGAGTGATCCACTCATTCCGATGCTGAACTGCTCTGACAATTAACACAAAGTGTTTTTGGTGGTGTAAACTGACTGTTGAGTTTTGCCAAGGAAGCTTTTGCCAAAAATAAAAAAGACTTTGACCAGAATAATCATTTAGAGAATTTTGCCCTTTTCTGTTACCTTCAATCATGATCAGTAAATGTCCACCTCTTAAAACAAACAAGTTGTTTGATTTGCATCATTCTCACTGACGTTGGGAAAAAGATATGCGAGAAGCTTGGAAACCTTCCATTATGGGGGATAGTTCTATCAACAGCTACCAGCTATGATAGTTAAATGGAACCTCCAAGTCCAGCAGCAATATATGCGTATGAATGTCGAGTTGGGGGAACAAAGAACAGAGGGGAAACTCTTTCCACAATGTCTTATGTTGCCTATGCAAAAAGTCACACACACAAATATTTCACCAAGGGCAACTGTAAAACAAAGGGTAGTGATGTGATAGCAAAATGCAATACAGTGGTACCTCTAGTTACGTACTTAATTCGTTCCGGAGGTCTGTTCTTAACCCGAAACTGTTCTTAACCTGAAGCACCACTTTAGCTAATGGGGCCTCCCGCTGCCGCCGCGCCACCGTCGCATGATTTCTGTTCTCATCCTGAAGCAAAGTTCTTGACCTGAGCTACTATTTCTGGGTTAGCGGAGTCTGTAATCCAAAGCGTATGTAACCTGAAGCATATGTAACCCGAGGTACCACTGTATTTTTGTGTGAATTTGCATTTTGTTATTATATCACTGCTCTGTGTATTGTGTTGCCTGTGGCAGATATTTTGGCCAGTTTATGGGTGGAAATAGCTGCACTTTGCAGTTTTCTTTAGCTGAAAATGGAGCAGAGGTTTTTAGGTCACATTCATGTCATACATGTAGAGCACATAGCTTCACCTAAGAATCCTGGGAACTGTAGTTTATTAAGGGTGCTGGAAATTGCAACTGTGTAAGGGCAAACTACAGCTCCCAGGATTCTTTGGGGGAATCCATGTGCTTTGGATGTATGATGTGGATTTGACTGTAGATGGAAGTTGGATTACAACCAAGACTTGCAATAAAATGTTGCATTCTTGCCTTCTAAGAGAAATGTTCCTATTCAGGGTACTAGTTAGCCAGCTAAGTCCTCCTCCGGGGTAGTATAAAGTATAAGGGGCTCCAAAACATCCATTTCCTTCTCATCCCCAACTTTCTGTGGCTACTCAGCATGCTTGGTATTCATCAGGCTGTTTTTTAATGGTTCTTTTAGGTTTTATTTTGAAAAGCCTTTTTTTATACGACTCGGTTCTCTCGAGTATGACGATACCTTCCTTAGAGGCACTGGAATTGTTCCAGTCTAAATGCTACGATGCGGTTAAGGTGTCACTCCACCTAAGACGGGCATAGAGCAATCCGATACAAGTTGGCCAAGGATGTGACTCTCAGCCGATGAAGATCTGAAGTCAGAAAGCTAATGTTAAGGTCATGTAGCCTTTTGAATTAATGGTTCTCTTGATGTTCCAGAGAGACTGCCTTCCCTTAGCATCCTGCTTGACCTTTTGCTCTAATCCAGCAGGACTCTTACATTCTGATGATCCAAAAAATAGTTATCTTTTCTAAAAATCAAGGGGGGAAAAAGAGTAGATGTCTTACAAAACTATTTTGATGATATCTGAATAATTCAAAGAAGCCTGAGCATCTTGTTAGACTATTAACATCTCCATGGCCTTTTGGTGGCCTGAGTTCAACTGGTTGGCAGTTTTGTTATGCATTTAGCTGTTTCAAATGGGATTTTAACAGAATTTTACTATCGTCTATTATGCTTTAAAATCTATTATTACACATCTTAGACCTTAGAGGCTGGACGGGGCTATGATTAGTTGCATATAAATTATTGTAATAGAAACCCCGAGGAGCTAACAATAGTATTTCACGGAGAGCAGGAAAATGCCAGTAAACAGCAAAAGGTCACCATTTGCTTAAAAAGCAATCTCGTCTCTATCTTCCCACTGCAGAATGGAAAACACACCGATGGCAGGAGGGTTAACGCAGTGTGCTTGAACTGCCAAGGCCAGACTTTGGCTTAATTAATATTAATTAGCTGCCTTGCAAGTTTTCCTCCTGACAGCTTTGGGCTGCTCTTCCATTCCTTTCTGCAAGTTTGAAAGGGGGAAAAAAACCCCCCAAAAACTTTTTTAATCCATTAGTGCTGAATCACCATGTCTGTTGGCAGTAAGTAAACATGACCCTAGACAGAGCCAGGTGGTGGTGTGTGCTCCAGCGACCAGGGAGAGTAAGCAGCGCTAGAGATAATGTGTAAACGTGTGTTGCCTTTTATCGGAAGGGATCAGTTCCCAAAAGGCGCTGGAATGACATAGATATCGCCGGTGTAGTTGTTACTTTTCACCATGACATCATAGATTTAAAAATAAACCCCGAGGCACAAATCCCCAGCACTACATCAAGGGGGACACACCACCGTGGGAATGAGAAGCAAGAAACCTGGGACACCGTGCCATAATCGGATCAGTTTTGTAAAATACTGAACTGTTTCCAGGTATTTAAGTGGCAGCTGTCAGGAGTTATCCTCTTTCCCCTTTTGGGGAGCCTTTTAATACCATCCAAGTGGCTCATCCTTGTTTGTACGCCTTCGCCCTGCCAATCTCCTATTCCATCTCTCTCTCCCCCCCCCCATTGGACACCTGTTGATAGGTGACACAAGCTATTATTATTGTGGCGATTAACGGAAAGCGATCAGAGCATGAAAGAGAACCCAATCCCTCTCAGGAAGGGCCAGCACTTTCATTTCAAGTTGTTTTTGAGGAAGTGCTAAAGGCGTTAAGTTGGCTGGACTGGACAGGGTATTTTTCCTTCGGTTTTGAATTTTGTCTTTTCCACCTGGCAACTGCACAACGCGTTGCTTTCTTGACCGGATTGCCATGCTGCAGCAAATTTTGCAGGATATGTACATCGACCCGGAGCTACTGGCCGAACTGAATGAAGAACAGAAGCATGTCCTCTTCTACAAGATGAGAGAAGAGCAGGTCAGGCGATGGAGGGAGAGAGAGGAAGACACGCAGGAGGGAGAGGCGGCTGTGCTGCAAAGGACAGCGAGACTCAAGCAGAGTAAGATTTGACAGCTTTTCTGATCACCAGTCATTTCTGTGGGGAGTTGAATGTCTCAATGTCTGTGTATTCCTCATATTGTCTGCTCTGGCAGTTGCCCTGTGAAGGAAATCTCAAGAAGATGGAAACTGAGACCTCACCCAGGCAACTGCCAGGTGTATTGATCTTGAACCTAAGCATTCCAAGTTCAGGCCTAGAACTCTGCCCAATGAGTCACAATGGCTTCAGTGCAGAATACGGTAGTTGCAGTTCAGTCGCATTGAAATGAAAGGGGGTTAAGTCAGCTCTGAATTTTTTCTCCTCTATGGATTAAGCATGACTCTTTGTTTCTCTTTATGCGTGGGGGATCTGTGCCTTTCAACTTGCACACCTAATCCATAGACTCATTGTTTCTGTATAATGCTTAACAGTGTGTAAAACTAGCAGACCAGAAATGTAGGGCCTACTGGCACCACCAGTCCCCCTACTGGGCTGTGAATGGGCTAGAGTGGGGTGGTGAGCAATACCTCTCTAATTGTCCTCTGAATGCCTCATGAGGACATGATTATACATTAATTCAGGCATAGGCAAACTTGGCCCTCCAGATGTTTTGGGACTACCATCATCCCCAGCTAACAGGACCAGTGGTCAGAGATGATGGGAATTGTAGTCTCAAAACATCTTGAGGGCCAAGTTTGCCTATGCCTGCATTATTTCATGGCACACCCTCCAAGTGTCCCTATTTTCCAGGGACAGTCCTGGATTTACAGAAGCTGTCCCAGTTTCTGATTTGATCCTGAATATCCCACTTTTCCTTAAGGCATCCCTATTTTCCTTGGAGAAATGTTGGGCAGTATGGAGTTATTTGGCCCCTGAGTCAAGGAGATAGGTAACTATAGAAGCTTTTGAAGACAGCTGAGGGCAGCCCTGTATAGGGATTTTTTTAAATAAAAAAACACATTTAATGCTTCTATATAAGTTGGAAGCCTCCCAGAGTAGCTGGGGCAACCCAGTCAGATGAGTGGCATATAAATAATAAAATTATTATTATGGAATAGGACATTCCTATTGTCATTGGAGAAATGTTGTAGGGTATGTCATGGTGGCTGGGGAAACCCGCCCAGATGGGTGGGGCATTAATAATAATAATAATTGCAAATGGAACCCATCCCAGAAAAGCCAGTAGCTCAGCAGAGAAATGGCACCCTGGGATGTCTTTCTTAGCTATTATATTCTTTGAATTTGTTCCATTTTCATTTCATATTTATTTTTGTACCTGTTTTGTTTTTGTTTGTATGTAGGTGTGTGTGTGTTTTTCTTTTCTTTTTCTTTTTCTTTTCTTGTCTTTATTTTTGCCAGATGTATGTACGCTTTGCCTTTGCTTTGTATTTGCATAAAAAATCAATAACAACAACAACTATATAGTTTTTTCCTGTAAACAAAGCAAAGACTATGAAATAATTGTGTGCTATAGTCGTCTAGGGTCAGAAGCATAGACACACGGCACAGAGTAGGAAGTGCCCCAAATGGCCCATTCACACTGGGACTGAAAGACTTTATAATCTCTGATTCGCTTGTCTAAGTCCCACTGTTTTTAAATATAGTGTGAAGGGTATCTCTTCGGGAGACCTTCAAGAGCATTCTTGCAGTTCCCTCCCATGTGCAAATAAAAGCCTGTTCAGTTTGATTGATCTGTCATTTGTTGGGAGTAGGGGGTTCAGAATGCAGCTCAGCTCTGTGCGCCAAAACAACATTAAGAGGATGAAGATTGTCTTGTGCAGAAGATGAACATAATGCACACTAACACCGAAAAATGTAACTGCAACATTTTTATATAGTAATTTGTCACAGTGTTGACAGCTGCATTTCCATATATAAATTATACATTAAACCTATTCTGCTTTTTAGTGCACAGAATTGTTTTCCGGGTAATTAATTTTCTGGTTTACAAAGAATGATGAAAAAGAGGAGAAAACGACCACAGGAAACTTTATACTGTCTTTCTATCTCTGCATGCATGCGTCTCACCTATGCTCAATGTTTTATGACACTTTGCTCCTTCCAAATGACTTGCCCATGTCTTTAGCTGCAGTTTTTTGTGTGTGTGGTGGAATTGGGGCAGAGTGACTGGCAAAAGTTGTTTCCATCCTTCATAAAAGAGAAGGACAATGTTTTTCACCTTAAATGGGAACAAAGGCAGCCTGATCAATTCTGAACTCAGTTGGAGTACAATGGAGACCAAGGTTATGCCAGTAGGGTAAGCTGAAAAACTTACATGGGTGACTTTGAATTGGCACTGCAGCTTGCATGGTGAGAAGGAGTCTCACAGCCCTGTGTTCCACAGAAAGCCCTATGCCAGCCAGTGTGCTGTAGTGGTTAGAGTGCTGGGATTCAGAGTGGGGAGACGGAGACCCTGGCTCAAGCCAAACTCAGCTGTGTAACTCTCACTTGGTGACTAACTTACCTTTGTTGTGAGGGTGAAAAGGGGGCTGGAGAGAACTTTGTACACCCCTCAAGGATGAGCTGTGGAAATATAAAGATAATTAAAAATACCTCAAATTACCTAAAGTTTTAGGAATGTCACAGGGCTGGTGCACATTTTTCAATGTTTTCTGGCCGCAGCTTGAGCTATTGTAGCTTAAACACCCCAGACAACACTTTGGGCTCATGCACACTCCTGTTTGCCCCATGCCTAGAAAGCATGGGTTCAAATGGCTTTGCCGATTCCCTCCAGAAAACCCGCTCCTTGGCACTAAATCAGAACAAGCGTCAAGCTGCGGAGAACCTGATTGCCATTTGTTCCGATTCAGCGCTAAAGATCCGGTTTCCACGAGGGAAAGCGGCAGGGCAAACGGAGGTGTTGCTAAGCCCTTTGATTCTCACTTGTCTCCTAGGGCTTCTCTATGTCTAGAGTCATACAATCCTAGAATTGTAGAGTTGGAAGGGACCACAAGGGTCATCTAGTCCACCCCTTGCAATGCACATCTTTTGGCCCAATGTGGGGCTCAAACCCACAACCCTGAGATTAAGTCTCAGGCTCTACCGATGGAGCTATCCAGCACCTGGCATCCAGATTTCAGCCCATTTCAGAAACACGTATTTGCCTTGCTCCCCGTCTTGGAACCCTGTGATTGTGCTAGGGATCTCTAATAAGGCTGAGAATGAGTTTTTGTCCCAGGTGAGTCTTGAACCAGGAGCTTCCATAGCTTGCTTTCTTAAAGCATCATTCAACGCTTCTTTAGCGAGAAGTAGGACTCACAATGCTTAGGTGGATATATATCTCCAACTGAGTGTGCCAGGGATTGCAACCCTAGCCTGTACATTATACCATGTGAATCTGAAATTTTAAATCGCATATATTCTCTTGCCCTGTGAAAGGAGGATTCTTACTTCAAATGGAGAAGCAATACTTTACTGCAAAATTTCACTAGAAAGGTCTTTCCATAGAAGGAGGCAGGTCTCTCTATGCCCTATGATATTGTGGTGTTTCTTCAGCACATACCTCTCATCTCAGATCATAAACTTGGGAAATACATATTTAGCCATTTTCCATTTTAAGCCTTCATTAATACGCATACGTTTTCATTTCAGTGTGAATTAACTATACTTAGCCCCACACCTGAAATTATATGATGTCAAGTTATGGGGCAGGTGAACATGGCTTGGCAAAAATGGCCTCACAGGGCAAATTAGGACCAATTTGTCTGGTGGCCAGAGGTTCATACAGTACCTACCCTAGGTTAATCCAGAGGCTTAATCTTGCCTGTCAATCACAGAGGCTGAAGCTCACACACCCTTCTGTCTCTGTAGACCTACATACCCTCAGTCCCAGCCTTGAACCCAGAGGTTCTCCATTCAAGCCCCAAAGTCTTTCATAATAGGTTACCTTAGTAGGGCTGGTAGTTAGGCACTTGTGTAGAAACAGGATGATTTTTTCTGCCTAATGCTGGGCTCCCTTGTTGCACATAAATCTTGCTTCTTTTACTTAAGAGCTAAACGATTAAACAAGTCTTGTAGTAACAGATGTGCCTTAGCTTGGGCTCCTGCCTCCATCAGCTCTTTGCATAGCTGTCAGGATAGTTTTAGATGTTATGAATGGGAGCTTGGTTTCGTTCATAACAGCAAAACCAACTTCCACAGATTCTAAATAAACCGGAAAACCACCCCTGCCCTTTGGATATACTTAAAAAGTGTGCGTTGATGCCCGCAGACTGGTTAAACCATACAGAAATGGAGTAGGAAATCTCTTTCACAAGTGAGTACCTTGGGCTCAAGAGAGCTTAAAATTATTTTCTTTCCTTTTCTCTTTCTCCCAGCACACAGTTAAGTGTATCTTGGAGCACAATATGGGAGTTACTCTTCAACATGATCTTGCAAAGCTGTATCACTTTTCCATTTGCTCAGAGTGGGAGGCTAGAATAGATCTCTGCTTCTAAGGACTCCCACTTTAGGGCACCCACAAAGTGGAATTGACCATTACCCCTCCCTGGGGCCTCCCTGACAAAAATGAGAAGAACCAGTTTGGCAAGTGTCTATACCCTGTGATCAAAGGTTGCTGAGAGAAAAAGTAGGATCAATAGGGCCGTATCATTTTCCCTTAGTGATTTCTAAGTGAAGATCATTGATCAAAGCAATAGGTGCAGCCTCTGTGCTGTTCCCAGCCTGCAGACTGAACTAGTAGCACCCGCTTCTCAGTCACATACCTACCATACATAGAATCATAGAGTTGGAAGGGACCCTGAGGATCATCTAGTCCAGCCCCCTGCAATGCAGGAATATGCAGCTGTCCCATACGGGAATCAAACCTGCAACCTTGGCGTTATCAGCCCCACGCTCTAACCAACTGAGCTATCTGGGACACGAAACAACTACTCTGAAATCACTGAGCGTGAGCCTTTCACTAAGGTTCCTTATATGCCATTTGATTGCTACTGACTTGGGGGCTTGTCCTAAAATAGCAAAATCCATATAATAGCCTGAATATGCCATTTATTAACCACCCACGTCTTTTGTCAACAAAG